GAGCAGGTCCTCATCAACCAATCAGCATTCCTGCACAATCTTTTCCCATTCTAGTGCTGAACTCTTTAAACTTAGAAAACATCTAGAAAAGACTTTACCTTACCCATCTGAAGTCCACAGATTAGATATGTGTGGTCTGTACCGTTTCCAAAAAGAATATTATCCAAATAGGATATCAGAATTCTATGTAAGAACAAGCCCATCAGCCCTGGTGGCCTCTCAAGGTGCAGAACATTAAAGGTGTGACAAGACAGGGATGCAGACAGAAGGAAGGCAGGCAGGCCCTTCTGTTCTTTGGAACAACTCCCCATGTCTCTCTTCAGTCTTTGTTTTCTCCCCCCTTTTCAAGACAGGGAGAGAGGGGCTGGCACCCTGGAGGGCAGCATGGACTGCACAAGGGCAGATGTGTGAGAGCTGCCTGCCACACCATCCCATTAAATGTACGTACACTTTACACCAGCTGAGGACTTGTAGACTGTAAAAGAGGGAAAACAATTGTCTGTATGGCTTCAAAAAAACTCAAACCAACCCCATCTGGCATTTCAGGTATCAGTCCACTGTTTAACATTGAAAAAGTGGCATACTTTTTATAAAGGCTTAAAATCTGACAAAATGTTCTGCTGAAACCCCCACCTTGTCTGATTAACAAAGGAAGGGCAACTGTTGTAGTATTTTCTGAGACCTGTTTTTAAACTTATAAAACTTGAAGTTCATGATTGATGATGCCTGGCTAATGTTTGAGTGCTACAAGCAATAATGGTGCAGTTATGGAGAACTATGGGATGATTAGTCAATAATAGTCGTCTGTCCTTTTCAATTATTTACAAATAATCCAGGAGATGCATAAAGCTAAAATAGAATATTTAAATATGCAAACCCTGTTAAGTATTCTGTCTATGTATCCTAGCTGCCACCTTCCTGATAGATGCTTTCAGCGTATTCTTGTATGCCCCAAAACCAAGATGCTTTCAGTGTATTCTTGTATGCCCCAAAACCAAGAAAAGATGGATAATGTCCCATTCTCCAAAACTTGTTTTGTCACTAGGGACAAAGAGCCTTGCACTGAAGATCACAACGGCTGAACTAATCCAAAACCCAGCACCAATAAAATGAGTAAAGAAGATTTTAAAACTGAAAATGCTGGAAATAATTGAACTTCAGTGAAATTGCTTCTGACAAGAAAAATATTAGAATATAAAGGCATACAGTTAACTTAAGATGGTTTTATGGTTTCTAGTTGAGCGTTTCAAACTGGTACAGTGCAGAGGGTAGTGCTCACTACTGAGGAAGCTGCATTTTGTTGCTATCCATTGTTGTCAGTAGGAGTCCTTCTGTTGCCTAACACAGGACACGTTAATTTCAATGGAAGATTGTATTTTAAGCCCTGTTGATGTAAAGTCAAACATTAGCTCTTAGGCATGAAATATACATGACGAGTCACTTCTAATTTCCCTTTAGTTATTGAAGTGTATCTTTTTTAAAAAATCAAAGCCACTGCTTCAGATGACAAAAAGCTTCTGTGTTTTTAACATTTTATTTTCAAAGGCTTATCCCACTTCTTTTTCAGGAAAATAGGGTTTTCAGCTGCAAACATGCTGGCAAAAATTTACCCCACTAATTTAGTGAGGGAAGCTCCAATGCTTGAACCCCTTAAACTCGTTACTTAACGTGTCTGGAAGTCTGAATCAACCCTTGTGAAGTGAGACACCTTGCTAGGATATTTCTGCAGGCTATCCCTACAGTATTTATACTACTTGGCAGATCCATATGGTCAAGGAAGCCAAGAGGCATGTCAGTCTGCAAGCCTGTGTTAAAAATAGAGGAGGAAAACAGCACGTGTAGAAGAAGTTGTTTTAGCAGTTAGAAAATTGCATTCTGTACTGTTTTTTTTCCCTACAGCTATGCGCGTTGCAGATTTTAGAGGATGAGGGCTTTTGTGTAGTTGTTTGCTATTCCTTTTTATTTATTTTTTACCATCTCCCCACCCCCAGTCACTTGTAAATGTCACCCACAAGTAGCTCTGTTTCTAGTTTTCACTAGAGGAAAACGTCTTATGAGCAGGTGTAGCTGGTAAAAATCAAATTCATGAGTTAAAATGTGGCTCGTGACAGTTTTACAGATAAAAATCTAAAATGCACCAAGATGTTGGAAAGACATGGCATGTACATTTAAGAAAATGCTCCTCTCATCATAATGGTGTCTTCTTTTAGAGGTTTTACAAATACTTAGCTATAAAAATTCTCTCTGAGCTGAAGCCTGACATAAAATATCCCTGATATAGTACAAGTTCTTGCTTGTAGTAAATATAATTAAAATTCACTTGCACCCTTTTCTTTCCTCCTCTTTTTTTTTATTCCTAAATTCCATATAAACAATCTGCCTAAAGAACTAGAAGATGAGAAATAAAACCATTTTCCAGAAAATACAACACATCAAACATCAAAGCTACATGAAATCACTTATGCACGTTGCCAAGTCAGCTCAATGCCAAGGATTTTTCTGTCCTTAGCTATATTTGTACTTGTAGATCAAGATGATGTCACCACAAGTGACCTGTGAAAACACGAATTTCCATACCTAAAATGTCTACAACAGTAATTGTTTCTACAAGTAAACTGGGTACAGAGCTACCTATTTTTTAACTAGGGAGACTAGTGTTCCAGTGTGCACAGCAATCTGCATCTCATCACTCAATAGTATCTGGGATTATTTTTTATTTTCATATTCAGGCAGTACTCATAGGCCTTGAAACAAGTCAAGAAATATTTGGATTAGCAGATCTCTCATCCAGTTTTAGCTACTCTTAAATAGGTATGTTATTTTATGTATTGGAAATGGCAGTTTTGGCAAAGCAGTATCAGTATTAAAAAAAGAAAAGTGGCAGTGGTACTCGTGCTAAAATTGACCAGCTCCCACAGATTCAGCCCTTTCTAAACTCGGTGGGTAAAAATAAATGACAGGTTTTCATCCTCACATAATGAGATGGGTAATTTCCATACCTTGTCAGGAGGAATTGCTAATGCCTGTCTGTATTTCTCCCCCTCTGCTTCCCAGCATAAAGCAGAAGGGATGAAAGCGCAGATTATCATCTCAGTTTGTACATTTATTTTTTCTTGAATGAATGAAGGTGATTTGAGTTGCATTAGGACTGGATGCTTTATAAGTAACACAAACATCTAAATGTTAAAATCATTACTCAACAGTCAACTTACTGATTTCTTCCTTCTCAAAGGACTCTGGGGAGCCCACTAACCAGAATGGTTGTCCTGGTGTACACTAGGTTTGTAGAATTCTCAGCTGAGTTCATTTGGCTTTGTTTCAACAAGATGCTTACAAATGGAAATTTTAATATATGGAAGTGCCTCAGGAACTTGCATTTGGTTTCCAATGATTCTTAGCTTTTACAAAGTACAAGCACTGCAAGAAAAAGACATGAAACTCTGGGGTTCAGAGACATTTAGCTACTAAATGGTGATGGAAAAATATGTTTATCCAGATAATTTGAACAAACCTGAGCAGCATAAAACTATCGCTGCTCAGTTCTGCCAAGTAAATCCAAAATTCACATTTTGAGACTTGTCTACCACAGTGGGAAGAAATATAATATCATGCTCCTTGTACAGTGTCCTCAGCCTGGACAGCCTGATGCTGCACACTCCCTTGGGACTGAGGGCATTGTGCCCCTGACCAAAATGTGTGAAAGCAAACTGAGGGAGTGATGCTGCAGCTCTGCTCCTCCGGCTGCCTGCGTGACACCGGCAGCTTAGGAGCCAAAGGTCACTCTGCTCAAAGGAGGATTTGCCATCCTGGAAAAATCCTAAGTTGAGGCTTTCTAGCAGAGAAGAAATGGGGTCACCCAGCTCTGCCTCCTGTCAGTGCAGGAGGGATGTGCTGTCCTGCCCTGGCTGAGGAGCACCAGCTGGGGTGTGCTGCTGTACTGCACCGTCCCTGCTCCCCAGCAAATCTGGTGAGGAGCCCCTCTGCAGTGAGCCACGGGCTTCAGGTCACCTCTGCCTCACCAGCAGCAGTTCAAATTATGACAGGACCAGTAAATATTTTATTTATAAAGCAGTATTATTTTACTTCACTAAAGGTGCTGCTGAGGGGATGTTTCTGGTCCAACTGCATTGACAGCAAGCCATTCACATTCAACATGAATGTCTTGGAATTTATTTTATAGTGGAAGATATTTATTTCTTTACAAAACTGGTGTTGCTGGTTCCATACTCAAACAAGGCCAAAACTCCAAGTTTCCACAGAGTACTTGGGTATCTTACTCCACGTACCCATCTCAGTGCTTTGGGGGGCTCAGGGAGGATGGAGCAGTGGGGGGAGGCACCACCTCAGGTATTTTAAAGAACCTCATCCAGAGAGCCACAATCTCCCCCTGCATGGTTCCTTGCTTTTTAAGATCAATTCTTATTTTAATAAATGTCTAAAAATGTCCACTCTTCCCAGCTCATTTCAGGGGAAAAGCAAACCAAACTGGAAGAGTAAGTAGTAAATGGAATAAAGGCAATGCTAGAAAATGCTAACAGCTGCTCTTACAAAGTGTATTTACAAAATATAAATCTACTTAAAAGGATGCTCTTCTACACATACTAGTGACATGTGCTTTAAAACGGCAACTGAAAATATGTAGAAACCGTATATTTTGTTTAGGATCCCTGTTTTACCCTCAAATATTTTTAACAACTGAAGTACTTTGTGGGTGTGCTTTTGTTTTGTTTCAGGCTTGAAAACATTCCAATACCCAAAGTGTAACTGAGGAGGAAAAAAAAAAGGCAACTGGACAGAGTGTTGTTAAAGATTTACTGGAGCATCTTGATATGTGATAATGAATAAAATGCAAATCTGCTTTACTACCAATCCTTGGTTTTGATTTATGAGCAATTATTAATTTTTAGATTGCTTCCAGTTGGATGAAAATAGAGATTTTACCAAACTATTTTTTATTCCTGCTGTCACTAAGTATATACCCATCTTTTTAAATCTTGTAGGAAACCAAGGAATCCTTTCCCATGAGAACCAAGGAGCCTTTGCAGAGTGTACAGCAGGTGCTGCCAGAGGCACAGGTAGGCTGACGTGTGGTGCTGCCCAGTGGGAGGGAGCTGGGGGACAGCCAGTGACCCACGGGGACAGACAGATGGGGACAGTCCGTGACCCATGGGGACAGACAGGGACTGTCCGTACCCCTGGTGTCCCTCCTACCCCACTGGCTGCTGAGGGGCTCAGTGGGGCTGGATGGGAACAGCCTCAGCAGTGAGGCTGAGCTGTCCTACCCTGCTGGGGACAAGCCAACAGGGGCAGGGCGGAAGCTTTCAGGTCTCAGAGTATTACGAATTAAATGCAATGCAATGAAATGTTTAGTGACTTAAGAGGAGGCACCAAAATAAAAACCCCTCTCTCTGAAGGGTAAGGTGCTCTACAGTGACAAAGCAACAGCTGTAATAATTATGTGCCCAAAGAGTTCAAATTAGATGAATGCAGATGTTGTAAATGAGGTCTGCAGTAACTTTGAGCTGTACATACTTCAGAAATATACAACTATGAAAATCCACTTTAAACCAGACAGTAGCAAGAACTTCATCTTTAACTTCCTGTTCCCATTCTACCCCATGCTATCTAGTAAGACTATACAGATAGAATCCTTTGTTTTTACTCAAATTTAGCTCATAAAAGATAAAAGCTTTTTTCTTAACAGCATCTTTTAATCATATTGCACAACACTGTTTTAAAATGTCTCATTTGAGAAAGTATGTATAATGCCAAAATGCTATCAAAAATAATTTTTGTTTCACATTGTGATTTACCCATTACTCAGAAAAGTATCTGTTCATTTAATTATTTCAGTAAACATAATACTGGTATCACTATCTATGCTACATAGTATTTCCCCCTTTTTAAGGAATATGAGCCTACTTGTAATTAAAGGAATGCTATATTAATGATGCCAAAAGTCTCAGAGGGAAAAAAAATTTAATGTCCACCTCATAATATTATGCCAGAATTACATATGTGCAGAATACTTTTTAATAATCTTTGTTTCTTAATTTAGTTTTGATTGGCTATGAAATACGGAGTAGCACTCAAGGGCTCAAATTTCTACTGTCATCAGCATTTCTGCTCTATAAATTGTACAAATGTACAGGACTCCCATCTGCAGGCTCCTTTTCAAGCTTCTATTTAACCTACGAAGGATATTAGCTGCAGGCAACTGTAATTGATGATAATTTCATCATTTTTAGCTGTTGGGATGTATTATGATATCTAGGTCTAAACACAAACAGAAAATTATATTTTAATGTTGCCATTTGAGCTGCAAACACAGGTCGGTAACACAAACCCGTCTCTAGTTTGCAAATTACAGCAACAGCCACTAGGAGTCTCCTGGTCAAATTCATGATGAATTTGCACAGTATTCTCAGCTCAGGTTTGCATGCAAACCCCATGCTAAAGTCTGGATTTCAGCAGAGGCCAGTCCCTGTGCAGGGCAGGTGGGAGTGGAGCGACAGGATCTCTGAGCTGTGAGCAGCATCATCGGGCTCCTGAGATTGTACCAGGGATAGAGCTGGCACATGTTTTAGAAGGAAAGCCAGAAGCCACCTACACACTGCTCTGGAAGAGCAAAATATGGTCATGATCATAGGAAGTCAGATTTGTTTCTCTTTATGACTGGACAGAGTATTGTGGATTTGTTCTTACAAAGAGGGAAGTAGATTTCACCAACTGTTAGTTATTCCCAGGGATTTCAAGATTTGTTTTGCACTGAAGTGCTGCAGGCCACAAGAACTAGCACCACCAGGTACTTCAAAATTTGCTTAGTGTGAAACCTGCAGCTCAGACCTGAAAATGTGAATAACTTCTTCCTCTTTTCCTCTCTCCTCTCCTCTCCTTCCAGGCCAGCTATGCACAAGCATACAGTGCCAGACATACTCTGAGCAATGCCAAATGCTCAGAGTTCATAAATTACAGACCTGCCGGAAGGGGTCATGCTGGCGTAAACACTGTGGCTGTTCAGTCCAAGTCTGTGACTGACAAAAGATGTCCACATTTCCTTGAAGGAATACCACAGAAAGCAGTCATGCACCTTCTGCCAGCATATGTAGCTTGCTCTGAGACACTAGAGACTGCTTTAAAATGGACAGGGAAGCCAGAGGTGACCAGAGACCCCTTCCCCACAGTGCTCATTATCCTGTAGGCAGGAGGAGCCCTTATTCTTACTCTTATATACTTATTCTGGAAGGATGCTGTCAGATCCTCCTTACAGATATATGCAACTCCACATCTAGAAATTTTAAGTGTTCAACTGCTCTTAGCCACTTATTTGTTTATAAGTTTCTTTTATGCATCTCTCCTCTTGAGCAAAAATCCTTTCCAAGCTGTAGAAATCCTGAATGACTTTAAATCTGATGAGATTTTAAACAAACAATAATTTGGAAGATTATTTGGCTTCTACTTTTGGAGCTCCTTGGTTTCATTTTCAAACTTTTCCCTGCAACCAAAAGGACCAAGGAAAAAAAGACGATGTTTTAAATGAAACCTGAGACTCTCATATAATCATAATTGTAGGACTCCAGGGGTTTGAGGTTTCAGAATAATCTCATGAGCTGTCAATACTGAATGTCACCAGAAACGATAATGTTATTCTCAGAATAGATGCCTAAAAGCAACTGTGGGATAGTTTTTTCTGTTGCATTCTCCCCATAATACCTAAAAATGCTGTTCTGGGGGGACATCACAAAGCTACCTGCAAGTGGTGAGCTGACAAATGCTGGCCTTAGCTGCATGCTAGGGCCGTTATATTTTGCAACAAATTTACATATGCAAAGCCCTGTTATTCAGTCTGTCAGCTAAACAAGGAAAGTACAAATTCATCACAGGCTCATAAGAACATTTAATACCATGGGGAATATGCAGAAATAAGTAGGGGGCCAATTTAACCACCCATCTCCTCTGTATTGTATGCTTGCACACATTGCAATGCACGCCTGCTTTGTGTGTTATTGCAGATTATTATCAGCTACTCTCACAGACTGCCTTAGATTCTACCATAATCTCTCAGCAGGACTTGCATGAAATTCTCAGTCTGGTTTGTTTCAAGGATCTAATCTATATTACACCAAAGGCTGACAGACACTCAACAGTTAGTACCTTAGTCCATTTGGTGAAGAGAAAATTAGTAAACCTGATCAGGAAACTGACATGCAAATACAACAGGAGGCTGCTTCAACCTCCTTGTCATCCTGCAGAAGCAGACTTGGCTGCTTGATACCCTTGTTTATTATTAGAATAGCTGAAAAGACCCTGTTCTTCTCCAAGTCAGCGTTAACCGATTTCAATAACAAAACAGTGGTACAGGTTTGGCAGGCAATAGCCAGTACTTACAAGAAGAAAACCAAGCACTTGTATAAGCCAGTTTGGCACTTCACCGTGCTGAAAAGAAACCTTTGCATCTTTGTCACTTCAAATTTGGGCTTTTTTAGCACAAGAACATGCCTAACATGAAAGAACTTTTTTCCACTGCCCACTTTCTCCAAGTATGTCAGTGCTATCTTCTTAACTCATTTTCTAAAACTAAAAGTGAACACTACAATTCAAGATCTCAGAAATTCCAAGGGCTCAGCACTACAAAATACATAAAACCTCATTTTGCAGGAAATATCTAATTCCTACAGCCAGCTATGGTACAGATAGACAATGCATTTTTAGGGATGAGAATACTCTGCTGTGAACCATGGGCAATACCTTAGGAACATTTAAATATTTCTGTCATTTTCCTTATGTTTCAAGCAAGACAAGCCATTACCAATGCATATCTAAATACAGTGGATATGTACAATCTACATCTATCCTGGAAACAAATCCCACAGTTTATCATGTAAAAGTCAGTCATTCTACACTTGTGTGGCTGAATGCACACTCTCATTCTGTGGGCTCTCTCTCACTCTTCCCCAGGTACTCCCCTTTCTCTGCTTCTCATGTGAGGATTCTGGTGGCCTTCTGCATCTCACAGGCTTAAGCTGCAGGTGAGCTACAGCTGTAATCTCAGGTCACTCCCAAGCAAACCTTCCTCCCACATCACACCACTGATGAACTGGTGTGCTCAAATGTTTTCAGGGGGAGCTCTGGCACCATTTTTAACACTTAGATTTAATCAAAATGTCTTTTCTTTGCCTTGTTGTTTTTTGTTTAAAATTGTTGTTCTAACTAGAGTGCATACTGATAACAAAGGCCTTCAGAAACTTACAGTATTACTTAAGATAGGAGCTGCTGCAATGTTTATCTGCACTAAAAGGAAGAAACAAGTTTTGTTGGGCAAGTTTGTTTCTTATGGGTTTTTTCTCATTAAAAGAAAAACTTTTTGCATTATATGATGAGTTACTAAATATTACTGAGTGCTAAATCACAGCTACTACTATTCAGATGGAAAAATGTATTTCAAGACTAAGAAAAAAAACCAATAAGACAATATTATGTGGGGCACATGACTTCCATTTGTTTTTAAACAGTGGCTGCTTGAAACTGCTTGGAGATTTAGAGCGTCAAAGACATGTCAGCAGAGATGGATTAGTGGGCAGAGAGCAAGTGGTGCAGTCAAAGGTTCATAGTGAATGTAATTTATTCATGCAGCTTTGCAATTTATCACGTGTCTATTACCATAATGTATGTGGGAAGCAGCTGCATGCGTGCAAATAATGCCTTAAATGTATGTGTGGTTGGATCTGAACTCCTTACACAACAGCAGTGGTGGAAAACGATGCCACAAGGCATTTAAAAGCAAATTTCCTTCCTGCGGGGATGCTGTCACCCAGCAATGATGATTTGTACACAGGCAAACAAGTATCTTGTAGACTTTTCTCAGTTGTGATAACCTCATTCACCAGAACTCATTGGTCTTTCAAATCTAAATAATGTAGGTAATGTGGAGCATGTTTCCAGTGCTGTATTAACAGATGTAAGTGTGCATGATTTGTAAAACAAATCTCTTATTTTCTTTTTAAAGAACTCAGTATCTTCCACTCACTATTTAACAGAAATATCCAATTGCAAAGAAAAGAGAGCCTCTGTAAGTGTGAGCACAAAGAAGTTATCTACAAGTTAAGATCTCTTTATATGAAACTTCTCACAGTGTGATCTATCAAACACTTGGGAGCAGCACAGCTGTAAATATTGATGTACATACATATATATATGTGTGTGTGTGTATATGTATATATACATATATAGCGTCTGTTAGATTCTTATACTTGTACATTTACTTACCAAGCCAAACATTTCCAAACCCAGTCTATTTTAGGACCATGTAAAATGAGGAGCTCTGGTCTCTCTTAGTTTGCTTGAATGCCTACAGTTTCAGCTAGAAAGAAAGCTGTGAGTAGTTGCTAGAGCTTGGAGGTGATTTTAGCTGCACTGTCCATATAGACCTGCTACAGCTCCGTGGGCAGCTGGGAAAACTTCAACAGCCCAACTCCCAACACCATTTTTTAAGCTTTAGCAATTTGAGTTCAACCGGTCTTGCTGTTTGGAAATTAGACTTATGTATGCCATGCTATGATGCTTTAAACTGATTTAGTAGAATCAGTTCATTCAAATCTTTCTTGATCAGGCAAAGGCCATCCCAGTTATGGGTTAGCACAATAAGAGTTTTATGCTGATTTCTTTTGATACATTAAAAGTTGCTGTAGAGAGACAATGAATTCCGATAAAGCCAAGTTAAGTCCTCATAAGCAGAACATCTCATTGCTCAGCTTAATGTACTGCTCAGAGTTTTGTACAGCAGAACCTTTCACATTTGGAATATGATGCAGGTTTTCTTGGATAATTTCTGTGCACTCTAGGGCTTCTATTCTGAAGCCATCTATCACAAATATACCCCCACTAATTATGCAAAATGAAAAGCTTGCCTTACCATCGCACAGAAAGTTTCAGGAGGATCTCCACATGTTATGTCGGGGGGATCCAGAGTCACTTTTACATATTTGATCATGTCTCTGGCTTCTGGCTGGCAGGCCATGTAATCCCATACTTTTCCTTCTTCCGTGTAAATCTGAGTCTTACAGACGTCATAGTGTCCCCACACAGAGGGGTAGTGCTGCATCACAGAGGATACAGTAACCCAGAGGGTGTGAAGTGACAGGAATCTTGACAAATACATTTCTAAATCCTTTATGTCAGCTTTGTAAGGATGCTCAGTGCTGGCGTATGTGCAGTCTAGAGATTATATGTACATATAACGTATGTAATTATAAAATAGGTTCCAAATCAAACGTGAAGCATTAGGATGGGATGTTTGTTTCACTATGTTAAACACTTTGGTAGAAGCCACCCAGGCCCTGATGACAGCCTTTCACAGCCATGCAGCGCTTGTCCTTCGACTTATAACTTATCTGTCAGGGCTTGTAAAAGATGTCCAAGAGCAGATAATAATTTGTGAAGTTGCAGGTCTTGAGCTCCACTGTCGATAACCCTGAGTGATCCTCCGTGCTCAGGGCTCGCAGGGGATGCCTGGACACACTGATAAATCAGTATCCGAAGGAAGAGGGTGAGTGTCTATAGGCTGGTGTCTGTTTCCCATCAATCATCCTTTTCTTCTGGCACCAGCACCCTTTTAGAAACAATAAAAATTAGGAGTTATTGTCCAAGAATCAATGCATTACAAAATACACGATATGTTGACATTTTGAAGGTTTGATGCAATACAAAGCAAATTGGTACAAAATGGATAACCTTTACTGTGGGTTCTGTGCTAGAATGAAGAAACTACCAAAATAATTCACAGTGAAAAGTATTTTGACATGAAGGATTTAACTGTACTCTAACAAAGACAGATTTATAATGTTCCAGGTGAGTTAGAGGTTCCTGCTTCCAAAACTGTATTTTCACCCTAGCAAAACTGGAGAGCAAACTACTGAATTCAGCCATGGCCCAGATGGTGCAGGCAGGCAGGGGAGTAGGCAGCCCAGCACTGCAGGGCAGCAGCAGCAAAATTCTTTTATTCAAGTGACACAGAGCTGGGCATCAGGGCTAGCAGGTGCTAGTAGCTTCTTGACAGGAGGACCTCATGGAGCTCTAAAAGCCTTACAGATTTCTTTTAGATTATTATTATTATTTTAAGACTAACAAAGATATGGCAAGTACAATTCAATTTCCTTGACGTTTCTTGTTAGCATTGCAAGAGTTTTGCTCCCTTTTTTTCTGCCTTTGAACTGTGATTTACTGACCATATTGATGACAAACTATCTGATAAAGATAATGGCTTATTTTGTAGCTTACTATAAGAATGCTTTCCCCCTTTATTTTCTTAGGTTTGAGGGTCGCTGTACCTGAGTACGCAGCACCTATTTCACAGCAGATATATGCCCTTTACCCTCTTCAGAAAACAACTAGAGATCTCCTCACTTTGTAGCACCTGAATCACATTATTACAGGTATAAAATGCTAGAAGTATATCATAGCAACTTCAAATATATATTTCCTAAATATTGCAGGAAAAAAAAAATTCCAAATTCTGTATGAAGAAAACTGCAAACACAGAGTAAGTACCCTAAACAGGGTCAAGGAAAATCAGTGCTAGGAATTCCAGTGCATTTGTCAGCCTGTGCCACCCGAGGTTGGGGAGCCAGGGCGCGGGGCTGTCGGCAGGGGATTTCAGCCACACGCTGCAGCACTTCCACACTTCCTTTGTCTGGATGCTAAAACCGAGCCAGACCCGCCGGACAGATGTTGAGAAACAACCGTAAGTCGCCACTTTCTGCAGCCTGCTTTGCTTCCCAGCTTTAAATCATGCCCAGTGTCATGAACCTCCTACATCCCACAGCCACGGGAAGAGGTGTGTGACCTGGTAAGCTCCTTAACGTGTCACGTTGGGAATATTCACTTTCCAAACTTATCTTCAAAGCTATTCGCAAACAGCTTCCCTATATTTAAATAATGCTTCATCTTAAACTGAGCTAAACTACAGACACCATGAAATGCCAACAGATGGTTGAATTGTGTTTCCATAGCAAAGTAATTTACAATAATTGCTGTATGGACGTAAATGCAATTTTCCATTATATTCATTTTATCAAGTGTTACCATACAACTCTCATGTATTTTATCAGAATACGCAGAGAATATCTGAATTTTCCTGCAGTAACAATTCTCAATTCGCTCAAACATATTTAAGCTTCAAATCTGAATCTGACACAAAAGCAGAAATATCTAAGACCAAATTAAATTTAAATCTCTTTAAGAAGCATGCTGGGTAGTACTGTTGGCTTTGTAGCAACCTTACATTCTTTTTTTTTTGTTTTCAGTGGGAGTGTTTGCATATTATTTTGGAATTCAGTAATTCAGAGAACATTTTCCATATAATTTTAAAGACACTTCTTCCCCTGTTTCCTTTCCAATGTATCTGCTATTCTGAAGAGGGAAAAAAAGCACCTACAAGAGCCCATAGTTTAGGGTTATAGGAAACTATGTCACTATAAAAATGGGAAAAAACTCCTTGCTAGAAGAAGCCACAAATTATTTTTAATTTATGGTAAGTCAAATACCTTTTATTTGAGATGGCTTGGTCATAGCTGGAATAAACAGTAAGTAAGTAAATAAATACAATTTTTCTGTGTAGAAATAAGAAGTTACTGAGTGTAATTATATTTAGACTGCAAGCTTGTATATTGAAGCAAAAAAAAAAAAAGTTTTTCTTTAATATCTTCCTTTCTAGCTCTTTAGTTACCTGTAATATTTTATAATGCTGAGACTCAGATTCGCTAATAAACCAGGACTGGGTAGGACTAAATAATGTGAAGCAAGCTGCTACCTTAACACACTGTGCTAAAATACTTCCCATATAACGAATTCTCATTAAAGTAAGCCAGTCATAATGATGGTCGTTACACAGAATTATAGACTATAACATCGATTGAATTTAGTGCACTGACAAGAAAAAAGTGCGAAGAAGTGCAAGACATCTGAGCATTAGGCAGCTGTAGCCGTGTACAACAGACACTCCTGACAAGAAGCAGCCAATTATAGCTTAAATTTCTGGCATATAACCAGTTCTGATTAATAGTTTTCCATTACATTACAGACATATTATTAATGTATTAAAAATGTCAAGCTTTGGCAAGAACTAGTATGGCATGGCCCAGTTAGTCTGCAATATCTTCTTTTAATGAGCTTCCATTGATATAGAGAAAGGTATTGACCAAAGCACATTAAGGATCATGTGCTGAGTGCTGCCAGGTTTTTTTTCTGACAGAGCTGTATGATTTGTCTTGCATTTGTTTGTTCCTGCAGAGTCACTTGTGATATGCGTTTTACATTTTAGTGCCCTATTGCTAAGGACATACCTATTTGAATTATTTTGTAGAAAAAACCTTTGGAGTAACATTTCTGAAGTTTACAGCTGTGCCAGATGTTTAGTGATAAGCCTCTAGCTGTGGGCAACACATGGCAATGGGGCTTTTTGTCCCCTGTAATGCCTGTGCATTTGACCTTAGAAAAAGGTAATCAAACACACCACTACTAACTACTGTCTGGCGTCCCGATTCCCTGTGCCCTGCTAGTCACACACCCTGGGTGTTGGGGGCCATGGAGGTGGCAAAGGAGGGACCAGCATCCTTGATGGCTGAGGGCAAGGGAACGGCAAACTGCCCCGACGACTTCAGCAAATGTATGCAAAGCCTCCAGAGCACGCTGCTCCCGGCGTCTGCTGTGTGGGGCAGCAGCACTGGGGCCTTGAACATTCCATGTGCTACAGCCTCTGCACTATGGAAAACACCAGGAGGCACCTGGGAGGCACGGGTGCAAAGGCCACATCTGGCTCTGCCTTCCTCTCGGAGCGCGGCTCTGTCTGCGAAGGGCCGGGCGTTCTGGCCACAAGTGAGGATGTCACAGCCATCCGAGAAGAATGGCATGCAGCTGACCCCCAGACTGAAATCAGCTGTGAGCAGGCTCTGAGCACATGCATCCCTTTCCAGATGGGGAAGTCACAGCTCATGCAGCGTGTCATTTCTACAGATGGAGGAGACACCCCCTTTACAGAACAGATAAAATGCATCTTGGCAGCACCAGTGCCAGGGAAGAGCTTCAGGTCTCATTAGGGGTTGTTAGCAAACACTCCTCCTTTGCCTCCTTCCATCAGTGTGAAAATCCACCCCCTTCCCCTCCTCACAACCAGAGCGGCTGGATGTCTTGCATGAGCTCCCTGCTGGGAAATCGCTGTGAGATCCATAGGGGTGGGCTCTTGGGCCTCTCTTTGGCAAGCCACAGGAACATGAGGAGGTAATAAAATAGTGACCATCTCCCACACTGACCATGCATTGGACTGAGCATACCCTGCCAGCACTCAGGAGCAGGAAGGAGAGCCAGCAGCAGACCCTACATTGCCTGAGGAGAACTGGCTGAAACAACGAGGCAAGGCAAGGAGTGCCGGCTGCCACCTCCCCACCGCGGCAGCTGCGGAACAGATTTTTCCAAAGGAAACATGTTTCAAGTTTGTATCCCGAAGAGCTTAAGCAGATTAATGGATCCAATCAAGCCCAAGTAAAAAGCGCCTCTGCGTCCACTCCAGTTGTTAATTATATAAAGCCAGTTTAGAACATAGGAAATTATGTTCTAACCCTCATGCAACTTACATTTACTAACCTCGTGTTGTATATACCATGTTACACCTAGGCAACTTGAGAACCTTGTATATATATACAAACCAACCCCTTTTATAAAGGCAAAATTATTTATCTATTTTATCTATTCAAAGAAGAAGGGAACCTGTATTTAATGATTTAATACACATTATTTCTGTCAATACTTGTATGAAATGCAGTATACTCAAGCAACTACTTTGGTGTCTTTGGCCTCAAATGCTGTTCCAATCAAAGTTTAGATTCTATTCTTATCCAGCTTATTTAACTATTTAGCAGAAAAAGATTTTTTAGCCTCAGGAGAAATTTAAAATGTCAATAACTAATTAAAGAAAATAAAATACAGCTACCAAAACCCTGCAATTTGGCACTATACTTGAAATACTTCTGGTTTTCACACATTATTCTTTGCTGACTGACACATCATACTACCACTGCCATTGCTTGCCAGGTATCATCAGCTGTCAGAATATGGAGTAAAAAGCATTTCAGCTATTTAAATTTTACAGCCTTAGTACATGGCTGCTTTTTTTCCTCGCGTCTTTATAATTGTTAGCGTCTTGCCTTAAATATCTCTAGCATCAATCTGTTCTGCAAGTTTTTCCTCTGGGAATTTAAGTTAGCATTTGGGGAAGTTACAAGCTTTGTTTTTGGGTTTTTTTCAATGACTCTTCATGCTCAATAAGGCAATGCATGCTCATCACACAGTGTATCCAGGGCTACAAAGCTTTCAAGTTATGGTGTGAGCTGATGACTTTCTAACTGAAAGTTCTCAGGCTCAAAAATGAATGCCTACCGGTTGCTGAATTTGTTCTGCGCTATTGCTGTATTTTACATAAATAGCTAGAAAGTTGGTGCTGCTTATCAATGTCAGAGGTTTGAGACAAGTTCATAACTCCATGAGAGTATCACCACTGTTTGAAACTCTCTAGTAATCATCCTGTTAAGGTCCAGAAATATACCAGAAATTAACCTTTATTTTTTCCCCATGAAAAGCACAAAACGAAAAAAACCAAAACAAACTACCACTGCCACAACCACAACATAAAACAAGCCAGGGGAAGTTCTGCTGTTTTCTTCCCTTTGGCGGGCTTCCCCGGCCACAGCTTCTCATCCTGAACCGCATTGTCCTTAGGCAAGACAGTGACTTATTCCCTCTTTAAAAGCATATCCACCGCTTGTTCCACTCACTGTCTTTGCTAACATTTCTGTATAAGTAATGCTGGCTCCTACCACATCAGATCCGGAGTAGTGAAAAGTTGATTGCAGAACAATAAAAGTGTATCAATCAGAGGCCAAAACCGCACATGCACCAACTTTGAGAGTAGAAAAGCATCTGTTTTATCGCGTCTAGCTGATCTGCGCTGCTCACCGCCATGCGGGGTTTTCTCTGGGGGTTCTGTGTGCGTGTGAATGTTTAGAAAAGCCGCCTGCAATTTCCGATGCAAGGGAGGACACCAGGCTGGGTACCAGTGACCGATGCCCGGCGCCGCCCGTGCCCGACGGGGCCGCCGCTCTCCCCGCGGGGTCCGCGCTGCGGGGCGGGCGCGGCGCGAGGGACGCGCCCCTCCCTCAGGGCTCGCTCGCGCTCCCTCAGGGCTCTCGCATCGCCCGCTCTCCTTCACAGCTCGGCGCGGCGCGGCCCGGCCCGGTCCGAGCTCCGGCTCCCGGTTCCGAGCTCCGGCGGAGGAGGCACCGCGCAGGTACCGCCCCAGCCCGGCCCCAGCCCCGGCCCCGGCGCGCTCCGCGCCGCGCGGGCGGCAGGGGGCGCGCGGCCCGCACCGATCCGCCCGCGGTCAGTGGCCCGAGCCCGGCGGGGCGACCCCCGCACACAGCCCCGGTCCCTCCAGGTCGCGCAGCCCCCGCGCCCCATCCTGCCCCGGAGCGGCATGCGGGCTGTACTCACCCTGCGGGCTCGGGCCGCTCGAGCCTCACCGCGGGGCGGCGCGGAGCCGCCGCGGCGCTGGGACGCGCTGGGGCTTCCTCGGTGGCGGCATGAAGGGCCGCGGGGAGGGCGTGAGGCGGGGGAGGGGATGCTCTTCCCCGGGAAAGTTTCCGGCGGGTCGCGGATGGGCTCGGCGGGGCCGCGGCTGGGCCCAGGCACTTGTCGGCGTCGAAGTTTGGCGGGGCGCGGGCGGCGCGCGGCGGGCGGGTGGCCGCACTCCTCCGGCGCTCGGCGGGGCGGCGGGCGGGTCCTGCCCGCCGGGCTCCCCGCCCGCCACCGCCGCTCAGGGCGGGAGCGGCCCCGCGCGGGGCGCCGGCGTCCGCGGCATGGGCGCGCGGCGCGAGCGGAGTGCGCCCCTGGCCGGGGCTGCGGCGCGGAAGGCTCCGGCGGCGCGGCCAAACTTCGGGGGGCGGCGGCGGCAGCGCCTCCTCACTTCGGAGCGACCTCGCCGCGACTGCCGGCGAGCGGGGCGGCGGCAGCTACCCCACCTCCGGGCCCGCGCAACGCGCGGCCCTAGCGCCGCCGCCGCGCCCGCCCCCCCGCCGCCGCGCTCCCCGCCCCGCCGCCCCGCGGGCGCACCGCCGGCGCCGCCTGCCCCGCCGGGGGGCAACGGGACGGGACCTACCGCCCGAACAGAGCGGGAGCCGCCCAGCCGCCGGCAGGGCTGTGGCTGCTCCCTGCCCGCTGGAGTAGCTCTAATTTCCCCGTGTTATTTCGGCTTCAGCCTGGTACCGCACAGGCGGAGGTGCTGTCCGTGCTGCCGCCGTCCGAGCCCCGAGCCCGGCGGGCTGACCCCAGCGCCCCGCCGCAGCCGCGCTCGGCTGCAGGAACAGGGCAGCGTGCCGTGCCGCCCAACTCGCCGGAGGGTCCCTCCGCAGTGCTGGGCACGCCGGGGAAGCGCCGCTTCGTCCTCTGCCCACAGCACCGAAGTGCCACCGACACAGGGAGGCAGCGCGACTTGTCCTGTTGTGGTGCTGCGGTGACCGCCCGCCCCGCACCAGCCCCTCGGGGCTCCTGAAAGACGCGAAAACCCCGTCTCCTCCTTCTGCTGTGCTTCCTCGCTCCCTCCTGCACGCCCTCTACTTCTGTCGCTTAAACGAGAGGCGCACGCACTTCTCCCTTTTAGATTTCTCCAAGCTACAAAACAGTATCTAAAACTAATGACTATCAAGTCCCGTGCAGGAATTGTGCTTACTTACTCCTGGCAACTACCTGGTTACTGAAATTGACCGACTGCAGCTGCCAGCGCTGGGCAGTGGGACACTGGCTGCATTGTGAACGCTCAGAAGCTGCGTTTATCGTTTGTTTGCGTGTTTTGCATGTTAAGAGGTGTTAAATGTATTTATGTAGGCAACAGTGCCGTTGTATTTTGTTGACAAAATTTGGCGGTTTGCAATCCCAGTAGGTAACCAGATGAAATGAGGCAGTGGGTTTATGGAAGAGTAAGAAATTTTTTCTCTATTTGAGCCATGGAATTTGGTAGGTTGTGGAAATAACTGGCAGGAGTCATTAGGAAGGACAGTTTTCTTCTTTTCCCTAAGGCAGGTAACCCAGCAAAGTAAAAAAAGATGCCTTCTACTTCCTCCCAGGTTTTTTTCTCTGTGTGGGCAGTGGTGTTGTTTCAGCATTTCCATTCATTCTCTGGAATCTCTGTGGCCGTGTTAGTGCAGGTACCACATGTATGGAAAAGTTCTTTGTGTGGGAAAGCCAGGAATGATCAAAGGGGTGGTAAAAACCAGCTTCAGGGATTTTCAATCCCCAAAAGCAGTTCTTGCTTTGTTTGCAGCCTCCTGGTCCCTGAGGTACAAACGGATAGAAGATGGAAATCAGTAAATTTTTTCTTCCCGCTTGAACTGGAAGCATGCCATGCATCGAGGCTCCATAGGGCCTTTTGTAAAGAAGAGGGGCAGAGTTTCAGTGCAGTTGGAAGAAAAGGGTTGTTTTCCTAATGACTAGACAGATGGTGGGCTGTACAGCGAAGTGCAAGGGACTGTACATGCTGAGGCAAGCCCCTGCAGTGGCACATGTGGATGGAGCAGCCCTGCTGCCTGTGCCAGCTGTGGGGCTCCGCTGCCTCCTGGCGCGGAGGAGTGCGGTGGCTTTGTGCATCTCTGGGCCAGGCTGGATCAGCTGTTTGCAGGTGCTGCGAGGGGAATGATTTTGGAGTGCTGGGGGAGTGTTGTCTTGCTTTAGACTTGAACTGGGAGAGGATGCCTTCTTTCCACGTGTGGAGAGAATGGCTCCTCATGTCACAGCAATGCCACTGGCAGTGGGGTACTTGGAGAGTGCCATTCACACCTGCTCTGCACCTTGTGCTGCTCCGGTTGCATGCCCTAAACCTCACCTCCAGACATGTGCTGGAAGTTTTCTCTCCTCTGTGCAGAGTCTTTGGCCTCCTGGGGCCAGTCCCTGGTGGGACTGGCTGGCCACAAAGATTAAAGGCAGGATCGAGTCATCTGATACGTCAAAGATCATTAAGTTCTTCATGCTAATGGTATTGGCCTCTTCTGCATCAAAGCTAGAGCAGCTGGTTTGAGTGCAGTGTCACCAAGTCTGAGATTAAATGTGCTTTACTGGTAAAAATGATGGCGAAAAATCAAGTCTAGTCTGAGGATGTGGCCAAACTTTACAGCCAAATTTTAAGCTCATGAGAGAAAAGAGATCTGATTTAAATTATTTGTCAAAGGCTGTTGAAAGGATGAAAAAGCAGATGGAATTCAGCAGCTAGAGATTTATCTGTGTTGTTTTTGTTCTTTTTAGAGTGACAAGCTGGAGTTAAAGAGAGAAGGGACAGTGCTTTTATATCCAAACTGAAAATACTGTACCAATACCTGTACTAAATTTCTGACAATTCTTTTAGTAGTCAGTAATGAGTTTTCACACGTAAGTGGGCTGGGCAAGTCACTGTCACAGCACCTTGAGACTGGACTTTAGCAGGATTCCTGAAGCAGATTTGATATGTAGACAGAAGATAAGATTAACCAAAGTTTGAAAGGAATATTTAAAAACACCTCAGGTCCCACTGCCTGCCTTACAGGATTGGAAATTGACTAAAAATGAAGATTTAGCAGTTGTTAAATACCAAAGGATGGAAAGTCACAACACTGGCAAAGTGTTATCTTGAAAGTGCTTCCAGCAATATTTTTTATGTCTTCTCAGTAATAGCTGGCATTGGCCCCTAACAGAATCAGGGAAGGGGATTAATTTTTGATTACTGGCCTGAACATGGGAGCACCTATGCCTATTAGGACACTCCTTGCTACAAGGCATCATTTATACTGGAAGCAGCATAAATTGCTGGTACAGAAGTGATACCGCTGATTGCAAACTTTTCTGGTGAAGCACCAGCTGAACTGCAAGTTTTTAACCAAGTCCTAAATCTAAACAAGCTTTCCATGTTTTCAAGCTGCGGTTTGGCTATTTAGTGCATCCCCTCATGTGCCATTATGAATCTTTTATTACTTGCTGTAGTCCAAGTTGACCTCTAATGATACAGCAGAATTATTTTATTAGTGCCTTTCCCCACGGCAGGGTACTGCTGCAATGGGCAGTAGCAGAGTACCTGGCTTTGCCTGAAGTAGCAGCTGTCCCTGGAAATGTATCCAGAGGCACAGGGAGTTTCCCTGCCTGAAGCTCAGTGTTTCAGCATGCTGGTGGGCTGAGGGCTGCAGTGAAAACTGCAGGTGTGATGTGGTGCAGCAGCTGGGGCCTGACCTCTGAACAGAGGCTGCTCCTGGTGGGGCCAGAGCCCTGGCAGGACAGAGGAGAGGAGGCAGTGGCTGCAGCTGCTGGGACTGAGTGGTGGCAGGGAGGGTCCTGCTGTGCAGAGAGCGGCTCGGTGCTTCTGCACACCTCTGCTCTGCGGAGCTACTGGCTGCTCCATGTGCTGCTCTGCTCCTCCATCACACTGCATACATATTTCTGACCTCTTTTGTCACCAGCTGAAGGAGTTTTTGCAGAGCAGCAGGCAAAAGGTACAGGAGATAAGAGCAAGAGTAGTGCTAATTTGCCTGTGCCTCCTACTGCTGAGGGGAGACAGGGGTAGAAATGGCAAGAAACAGCAAATTCTCCCAGCGGCAGAGCTGCTCTGTCCACTTTATTGCTGCTTTGCCCACAGTAGTTTAGCCTTCTTTAAAATCAATTGGCTGTCTAGAATTTGAGTGTTGTTCTGGGCTTCCATGTTTAGTGCCTCCAGTGCTTACAGCAGAATGATTGGAAAATTGTATTTAGATAAATGACAAAATCAAAAGGTTTCTGCATTAGAGTTGTTGAACCTGGAGAAGAGAATGCGCTAGAGAGACCTTATAGCACCTTCCAGTTACCTAAAGGAGACCAACAGCAAGAGAGCTGAAGAAAGGTTTTTACAAGAGTATATGGTCATATGAAAAGGGGAAATGGCTTTAAACTGAAAGCAGATAGATTTAAATTAGGTATTAGGGAGAAATCTTTTACTCTGAGGGTAGTAAGGCTCTGGAACAGGTGGCCCAAAGAAGTGGTAGATGCCCCCTTCCTGGAATTATTCAAGGAGGAATTGGATGGGGCTTTGAGCAACCTGTTTTAGTGGATGGTGTGTTCCTGCCCATGTCAGGAGGATTGGAACTAGCAACCAACTCAGGACATTGAATGATTCTATGATTTGTACAGGCAGGGGACAAATCCTGACCTCTGTTCAGTGAAGTAGTGAATACACAGACATCCCTATGTAGTATTTTGACACTGCTCAAGCTTCAACATAGCTCAAGGGCAGGGGACAGGGAG